CTCCTGGATCAGCTTGAGAGTCTTCTCTTTCTTTGAATCCCACACAAAGTTGGCAGTCTTACAGTACGTTCCCATCATCATTTTGTCGTTGTTAGGTGCTGTTGAGCCGATTTCAACTTATAATGACCCCATGTGACAGAGCAGAACTGCCCTATAGGGTTTTCTAGGTTGTGATCTTTACGGGAGTAGATTGCCAGGTCTTTCTCCCATGGAGCTGCTGGGTGGGTTTGAACTGCCAACCTTTTGGTTAGTAGCCAAGCACTTAACCAGGACTCCCTATGTAAGACTCCATAAAACAGCCATTATAGGATTTTTTTCAAGGATGCTGGGCTTGCTTTTCCAATATATTCCTCAATGCTTTGTTAAAAGAGTGAAGGAGTTATGCTAAATCCTTTCTAACATTCCTATTTCCCTAAGTCTTTGGATTTCTTCTTCTGCTTTTTACCAATACATTTCTAGCATCCAAATTTACTTAGTGTAAGTCACCATATAGTCCAGGTTTTTGTCAACCAACTTAGCAAGCTATTTGTACTACTCCCAACAGCTTGACCTAGCATATTAAATCCAGAATCTCTGAGAAGTATATCCATATCATTAAACTTGAACCTATATAAAGTTATGTTCCTTCATTCATGGTCTGCATCTATTTCCATAAATATTCTAGTTTCTCCCAGCATAAATTAGCAAAATATTTCAATTATTTGGTTGGATAACCAATCCGAGATTCCATCTTTAAGAGTTTGTTGCCCATACTTCACTTTCTGAATACTGAATTACCAGATACTGAACCAGTTCAGTGTAGGTCAAAGAAGCAAGCATTCTAGGTATTTTTAAGCAGGAAGAAAATTAAGTGCATCAGAAATACTGAAGGATCAGGTTCTACACTTGGTCTTCTGGAATGACGTTTTTTTATTAGCAATGATATAATCTTTGAAGTCATCATCAGAACTATGTTAAAAGCAAGAAGCCACCACTATTACTGTCATTACTGTTTATTATTCTCAGGAAGCTGGAGGAAAAGCAAAACAAAACTTTGTTCACACACACATCACAAAAAAAGGAAAGGAGGAGGAGTAACATTGTTATTCATACATGGCATGATTGTGTATGTATATAAAGTCTTAAAGAATCTGCCAAAAAACCTAATTGAACTAATAGAGAATTTAGCAGTATTTCAAGAGATAAGTTCCGTGTACCTAAATTGATCATATTTCTATAAACTAGCAACTAACAATTGGAAAATAATTTTAAATACCACTTATAAAAGCATTAAAAGAATAAATATCTAGAAGTAAATGTAACAAAAGATGTGCAAGATTCCTACACTTAAGGCACAAACACTACTGAGAAAAAATAAAGATCTAAATAAATGGAGAAATATACTATGTTCATGGATTGGAAGATTCAATACTGTTAGGAGGTCAATTCCCTAAACTGATATACAGATTCAATGGGATTCCAATCAAAAGTCCAAGAAAGGTTTCTGAACAAATTTACAAGTTGATTCTAAGATACATATGAAAACACAAAGAAATTACAATAGCCAAAACAATCTTAAAAAAAAAAAAGGAATTTGAAAGCCTTACACTATCAAATAATAAGAGCTATACTATAAAGCTTCATTAATGAAAACAGCATGGTTTTGGCATAAGGATTTTTAAAAAAAAGATCATGGAGTAGGAAAGAGAGTCCAAAAATTGTCCCAGACATATACAGTCATTTGATTTTTTACTACTGCAGTAGGAAAAAAATACAGTCTCTTTAACAAATGATGTAGGAACAACTGGATATCTGAGGAAGAAAAAATAGGCCTCAATCCCAATCTCATTCCATACATAAAACTTAATTTTAAGATGTGGTAGTTCTCTTCAGGTTGCCTCTTATTTTCACAGAGAAAAATCATTACCGGGAGTGTAAGAGAAAGGAGATATTGAAAGTTTGAGAAGGTATGACAGAGTTGTCTAGAAGAGGAAAATATAGTATAATTGTTGGTAGAATTAAAGACTCATTTGACGTTTATAGTTTATTAACTAAGGTTGGGGTTTGCTAAATGAATACGAAAGAAGACTTGCTAGCATCGTAACCATAGAAAATTTAATGTAACTTTTGGGCCGTAGTTTCCTCATCTGAAAATAGAGATAATAGTACTTCCTCAATTAGTTGTTGAATTAAATGAGTTAACATATGTAAAGTACTCAAAACAGTGACTGGCTCAATAAATGCTATCTAATTGATTGCTACTATATTATTTAGATAGGTAGTGTAGTGCTTAAGAGTATGAACTCTGGAGCCTGTCTAGAACAATCAAAATCTAATCCCAGATCCACTACTTACTAGCTATACGACCTTAGGAAGTCATTGAACCTTTGTGTCCTCAGTTTCCTCTTCTGTAAAATAGGTATGATAATCATAACATACTTTATACATTTCTTTCTGGGGATTAAATAGGTCAACATGTGTAAAATACTTAGAACAGTGCTTGGTAGTTGGTACTCAGTGTGAGCTATTATTGAAACTAGCATTGTTATCATCTTAAGAATGTCTAAATGCATCCTGCAAATATTTACAAAATATTTCCAGTTTCTCCATCATTCCTTAAGAATAGGCTGATGATTTGAACAGCGTTCATTAACTCCTGTAAACCATCATTATGCAAATTAGGTTCACTACACAATCTGTAACTAGTAACTGGTAATAAACAATCACTACACTATACTGCATCTCATTACACCACAGAAATCTGTTCTGAAGAGTTGTGTTAATCAAGTATAAAGTATCACTGAATTAAATTACAAATGTAAGTGAAAGTTAGTGTCACTTAAAACTAGTAATAAAATTTGAGTAGATAATCCAAAAAAATGTTGGTGGACAACTTTTTTTTTCTCATTAGGGCATACTGTTTGCTCAATCACAAAAGCAGAAATAAAAATTGAACTACTATTGACAATAGTATTGACAAGTTTTCTGGTAATACACGTAGCCCCTGACTTACGATGTATTCAAGTTATGACAAGCTGCACTTAAACGATTGGCCATTTATTTTTGTTTGTTTTTTTCTTTTTATCATTAGTTATATGCATGCAGGGGATATGGAAAAATTTGCTGAGTTATATGAACACACTCCAAGCATTTGATCAGGATAATATGATGGAAGAGCTCAGTGAAAAAAAAACCATCTATATGGCAAGAACACTGATTTTAGAACTTGATATTGTCGATGTGGAACAGTTTATAGATCATGAAGGGGAACTGACAGATCAGGACTTAATGGATTTTGAAAAGGAAAGAAATGCTGAAGAAGAAAGAAAGAATGAAGAAGAGAATTTGTCAGAAAAATTTACAGTGAAACACTGTAGCCTTCAATATGGATTACACTTCAACATGAAACAAAAATCCTCACAAGTAGACCAATAAGAAACATCATGATAAATGAAGGGTCTTCCTCTTCTTCACAGAAGGACTCTACCAAGCATGACGTCCTTCTCCAGGGACTCGTCCCTCCAACATGTCCAAAGTACGTGACTCGAAGTCTCACCATCATCACCTCCAAGGAGAACTCTGGCTGTACTTCTTCCAAGACCGACTTGTACGTTCTTCTGGCAATCCATAGTATATTCAATATTCTTCGCCAGGACCATAACTAGAAGGCATCAATTCTTCTTCATTCCTCCTTATTCATACAGACAACTCTCACTAATTTTCTGACTAGAAACACCATCCCCATTCCCAGGGATAATCCAGATGATCCAGAACCTTTCACAAGTGGAGTTATTATCGCAATTGACAAAGTGCCAATGTTGTCCAACTCTTCTTTATCGTCAGAGTAAATTTTTATGATGTGTATTTCACATGCATATGAGATGACTGAAAATATCGTGGCTTGGGTCAGGCGCACCTTAGTCCTCAAAGTGACACCTTTGTTTTTGAACACTTTAATGAGGTCTTTTGCAGCAGATTTGTCCAATGCAATACATCATTTAATTTTTTGACTGCTGCTTCCATGGGCATTGATTGTGGATCCAAGTAAAATGAATCCTTGACAATGTCAATCTTTTCTCCATTTATCATGATGTTGCTTATTGGTCCAGTTGTGAGGATTTTTGTTTTCTTTATGTTGAGGTGTAATCCATATTGAAGGCTGTGGTCTTTGATCTTCATCAGTAAGTGCTTCAAGTCCTCTTCGCTTTTACCAAGCAAGGTTGTGTCATCTGCATATCGCAGGTTGTTAATGAGTCTTCCTCCAATCCTGATGCCACATTCTTCTTCATATAGTCCAGCTTCTCAGATTATTTGCTCAGCATACAGACTGAATAAGTATGGTGAAAGGATACAACCTTGATGCACACCTTTCTTGATTTTAAACTATGCAGTATCCCCTTGCTCTGTTCAGATGACTGCCTCTGGGTCTATGTACAGGTTCCACGTGAACAGAATTAAATGTTCTGGAATTCCCATTCTTTGCAATGTTATCCATAATTTGTTATGATCCACACAGTTGAATGACTTCACATAGTCAATATAACACAGATGAACATCTTTCTGGTATTCTCTGCTTTCAGCCAAGGTCCATCTGACAACAGCAATGATACCCCTTGTTTCATGTCCTCTTCTGAATCCAGCTTGAATTTCTGGCTGTTCCCTGTTGATGTACTGCTGTAACTGCTTTTGAATGATCTTTAGCAAAATTTTACTTGCATATGATATTAATGACATTGTTTGATAATTTCCATAATTATCTGTAAGTTTATATGTAATGTTTTCAACCACCAAAGACAAATAAAGATCAGGTTTATAAAGATATTGATAATAAAAGGTAATAATAATGACAACTAAAAAAAACAAATGAGGTATTCGACTTACGTTAGAACCAACTTATGACAGAGTCGTCAGAACGGAACCCCATTGTAGGTTGTGGACTACTTGTTCGGCAGTAATCTTAGATATTTTAATCTATAGTTTCATTTTAATTTCATATTAAAGCAAAAGTTTTAAAATCATACCTCACTGTCCTCTCTTCTACTGATATTAGCTGTATCATCTTCATTTTTCCCAGGATACTGACTTAAAGGGAATGACAGATTTGAAAGTCATATTAAAACATTATTCCATGAATACTCATTTTTCTTATTTTATAAATTTTATTTGGTATTCTTTAAATAAAAATATTAAAAAACACTTGAAACAAAAATATCTTTCAAACTCACTAATGATCAATATAAACTACATTTATTATATATGACAATATTTCATTATATTATAGCTAAATTCAAATCACAGTGTATTGTCTACACTAAGGTGAAATAACTATAAATTTTATAAACAATTTTTATAGATTTTCTGTTAATGATTATTTCTAAAATCCCTCGTCTCAATTTCAAAAGAATCTATGCAAAATTGTTAAGTATATAACTTTGAATTAAATTATATGAATGTGAAACTCAAATACACAGATTAGTTCTAACCGTAACTAAGAATCCCAAAACCAAACCAAGCCCATTGCTACTGAGTCGATTCCAACTCACAGTGACACTGTAGGACAGAGTAGAACTGCCCCATAGTTTTCCAAGGAGCAGCTGGTGGATTCGAACTGCCAATCTTTTGGTTAGTAGCTGAGCTCTTAACCACTGTGTCACCAGGGCTCCAAGAATCCAAGAGAGGCAGAAAGATTAGATCTAACAAAGGCAGAAAATTTTCTGTCATCAGGCTGCCCCTGATAACAAAAAGATTACAACCGAAACAAATTTAAATAATAAATCATCCCTCATTATATTGAAAGAATGTTAGTAACAGTAATAATTGAAATCAAGGTATTTGTAATAAAAATATCAGAAATTTAACTCATATTTTTGCTCTAATTAGAAGTTCTTATATCAGTTTTCTGGATATCTCATTTTTTCTCTTAGAGTTTAAATTATGACATGTATAATCAACATCTATGCTAATTACCTTTTTTTGCTGTTAAAATAATCAGTATTTGAGTCTTCCAATGATCCTGGCAATTTGGAATTTCTAATTTGATTTTTTCCAGTCTGGCTTTCTTTTGGAGTGGTTTTCCCCCTGGCTGGTGTTGATGTTCATCCATGGCAAATAAAGTTCAGAATATTAAGAAAATACTAATGTAAAATTTTGTTTTCATATTTATATACTATAATTTTGTCCCATGTTTCAGAACCTCCATGAACTTAACTGCATGTGGTACGTTGTTGTTGTTAGGTGCCGTTGAGTTGGTTCTGACTCATAGCAACCCTATATACAACAGAATGTAACACTGCTCAGTCCTGTGCCATCCTCACAATCGTTGCTATGTTTGAGCCCAATACATGGTATAAGGCAATAATTTCCACAGTGAGTTCTATGAAACATTAGTGTATGTGAAAAGAGAATATTTTTGTCAATTCAGTTTACAAAATCTTAGATTAAGCTACACTAAAAGGAACATGATCCCCTACACATGCATACAAACACATCTATTATAGGATTTCTCTCTCTTTATGTACCCTGTAAATGTGCAAAAGAGGATAAATTTTATTTTACCCTAATTTAATTGTCATTTTGCCAAAAGCATTTTTGGAAATAATGTTCTGAGAAACTCTCCCTAGAAAAGGCTGGTGTAAATTACAGGGCATATAATATAATTTGTTATTTCACATACATTTCCATTTATAAAATAGTCCTTCCTTTTAACAGAATTTTTCTAAATAGGAAAAATATATAATCTATCTTTAAAACATTAGCACAAATAGTCTATGATTAATCAAAAAAAAAAAAAAAAAGGATCCACGAACCTGTTAGTGTTAATGCAGTTAATGCAGAATATTTCTCCTTGAAGAGATCAATTTTGTTTTAATTAAAAAAAAAAAAATAAGAGTTGAGTTAACATTTGTATTTTCAAGGGTGGCCATGATATTTTGCTATTAGGGTTCAAATAAAAACCTGAAGCTCATTTTTGCTTAATTTTATTTTGATTTATTCCCAGCTGGCACTGAAAAAGTCATTTAAGAATAACAAACAGGAATTTTTCTAAAAAAATAGATTCAATCAAAGTGAAGGAAAGATGACTATACCAGCTGTTTAAAAGCTGATAGTGAAATATCACTATCTCCAGCCACCTAAAAAAAGAAACAACAATGCTAAGCTCACTAGACTCTGAGTTATTTTTTGATAGGGATATAGGATATGGATCTATCATTCCTAAAAACAGCTTAGAGCATGATGCACTGCATCATTTAATATCTATGAATTTTAGAAACACCTATGAATTTAATAAAAAGCACGTATTTGCTTCCGAAAAAAATCATAATACAATGTTTTGAGAGCTATAGTAGATATATTCATAGATTTACAGAAAAGGAATGCTAACTGTGAAACTGAGTTTTGAACTGTGAGATGTTTGCCTGGCAAAAAGAATAAGGAGAATTTAAATAAAAATGACATGTGCAAGGACAGAGTAATAATGTGTGTAACGTTTTTGGCAAAAATTAAAAAAGGACAGTATGACTCTAGTACAGTGTTGTAAAGCATGGGTTTTAACCAAACATATGAGTTCAAGCCCTGGTATTACCACAGTAGTTGTGACCTTAGGTAAATCATTTCTCTAATCTCCAATTTCCTTATCTCTAAAATGGCATAGTGCATGTAAAGCACCTAGCAGTGTCCAATTCTTAGTAGTCTCTTGACTTCAAGCTCTGATTTCTATCCCACTGTCATTTTCTTAGTTCAGCTCCTTATTACCTCAGACTATTCTCCATACTGTCACCTAAGCTGTTTTTCTAGAAACCAAATCCAATCATGCTACTTCTGTTAAAAACTTCAGACAGCTTCCCACTACCCACTAAATTCCTTAGCTTTGCAAATAAAGCTCTTGCAGTTCAGATCTGGAATCTTCAGGCATCCTGAGGTTTAAACAGGAGTCTGGAATTTGTACTCACTAGCAAGCTCTTGTCCATGTGCCTGTATCAGGTGCTCACAAGACAGACTGGAGGCAGGGCAGGAGACCTGAGAGACCTCTCCACCAGTGGCACATAGGTATGGAAACCCTATCTACCTCTCAGCACCCTCTCTCATACAAAGCAAAAGCCTTAGGCCAACAGGGAAGGGGCAGGAAACCTTTCCGCCACAGGACACAGGCAAAGATCCACTGGTTCTGGAGGAGGGACAGGAGCAAAAGCCATCTGCCCTAGAGGGAACAGGTAACTTCCCTCCCACTATATAGGCCTTGTGCTGAGTAACAAGCAACAGTCCTACCACTCTGGCAGGGATAGAAAACCCCTCCTACCCACCAGTCCTGGCAAAGGCTTCAGGAGAAGAAGCAAAAGCTGTCTGCTCCTAGGAGAAGGGCAGGAAATCCTCTTGGGTCCAGGATCCAGGATTCAAAACATAGGCCTACTACAACTGGGTAAGGAGAAAGAAACTCTCTCCTACCCAAGATACAAGGCAACATTTGGCTGTTCCACAGGAAGTAGTAGAAATGTTATCAAATGTTATCAAACACCTACCCTCAGGGCCCATGAACACAGGGTCTGCCTAAACATGAGGCTGGACCAAAGGAATCAAGAACTACCCCTGCATTTACCATGAACCTCAATCCAAGTGATAAGCAACAATCGTTCCCTGCTCAGGGAGGGACAAGAGTATGCAGAGAGATCCTCCTCTTTGGAGTAGGCATGCAGGGGATGCTGAAAACTGAGGGTAAAGTTGGAAAAGTGAGAAAAGCCCTCTGAAAACTCAGGCCCCAGGCTAAACACAAGGTAGAAGTAACCCACTACTGTAGCAATTTGAAGTCTGTGGTGCAGTGAAGATAAATAGAGCAACAACAAAAACCCAAACCAAGCTCAACTACTAACTACATTGATTCAGTCTCCCATTTTTCTTTTCTAAAAGTTCTTTTTGATAGAGCAAACTTTTTCTTAAAGGGCCAGATAGTAAATATTTTAGGCTTGAGAATCATAGTCTCTGTTAAAACTACTCAACTCTGCCATTGTAGTGCAAAAGCAGTCATCTACAATATGTAAATAAATGGGCATGCTGTGTTCCAATTAAACTTTATTTAGAAAAAACAGGCCACAGGCCATGGATCAAAATAAGATAAAAATAATGAGAGTCCCGGGCGGGGGGTGGGGGTGGGGAGAGTCAACATGGCACTATATAGACAGAAGCACCATGCCATCCCTCCACAGCAAAAACTCGAAAAACTAAAACAGAGACAAACGTCAATCCTGGAACCCTAAGCATCAAATGAAGGGATAAAGAACTCAATTAAACACTGAATGGGATAAGAAACTGACAGAAAACAGAGAGCGAGGGGAGCTATGGAGTGGAGATCCCCTATTAGCTAACGTGGCATGGATTCGCCATCTTGGACCCCTCAGCCCCCAGACAGGGAGTATGGGAAGGCAGCTTCACAGAGCTCTCAGCAGGAGACAGAGCACACGGTAACTAGCAATACACACTTTCCCACCGCCTATCCTTCTTCCTCCTGCTGGCCTCCGCCACTTTCTGGCAGGCTGAGGTTACTTGGTTGGGGAGATGCCGGCTCCTTGCCACTTGGATTCACCCCGCCCACATCGGCCGGCTCCTTTGGTGACATTTTATTTGTTGCTGTTGTTGCTTTTTTTAAGCTTCTTTCGGTTTCTTCTCTCTCATCTCCTTCCTTTCCTCTCTCTCAGACACCAGATCCGTGTGCCATCTCTGCTACTTCTTGACAGGCTGTGCAGTGCTGCTGGGCTGGGGAGCTACTTCCCCGATTCGCGCCACCATGCCGGTGGGCTCCCTGGGGGCATTTTTTTTTTTTTGCTTTTCTTCATTTCTCAGTTTCTTCCCTCCCTCTATCTTCTTTCTTTTCCTTTCTCCCAAATACCTGGCACTGTGTGCCATCTCCACTCCTAGATGGGCTGTGCAACGCCACTTGGCTGGGGAGCCACTTTCCTGGTCTGTGCCACCAAATCAGTGGGCTCCCTTGGGGCTTTTTTTTCTTTTCTTTTCTCGGTTTCTTATCTCTCTCTACCATCCTTCCTTTTCTCCTGAACACCTGATGCTGTGTGCCATCTCTGCTCCGTCTAGATGGGCTGTACAGCCCGTTCCTCAGTCCACACTGCCAAGCCAGAGGGCTCTCTCGGATCATTTTTCTTTTTTCTTAGTTTCTTGTCTCTACCTCCCTTCCTTTCCTTTCTCCTGGACACCTGGCACTACGTGCCATCTCTGCTCCTTCTTGATGGGCTGTGCTGTGCCACTCAGCTAGGGAGCCCCTTCCCTGGTCTGTACCACCATGCTGGTGGGATCCCTGGGGGCATTTTTTTCTCTCTTCTTTTCTCTACCTTCCTTCCTTACCCGTCTCCTGAACACCTGGTGCTGTGTGCCATCTCTACTCCTTCTTGACGGGCTGTGCAGTGCCACTTGGCTGGGGACCCGCTTCCAGTGGGCTCTCTTGGGGCATTTTTTTCACTCTTTTTATCTTGGTTTCTTATCTCTTTCTGCCTTCTTTCCTCTCCTTCCTCCCAACCACCTCATATCCTTTTTTTGGTTTCTTGTCTCTCTCTATCTTCTTTCCTTTCTCCCGACCACCTGGCCACGTGTGCTTTTCACTCTCTCTTTTTTTAAACTCTAGTTTCTTATCTCTCTCTCTCCCTTCCTTTCCTTTCTCATTCCAACCTAGCTGCATGTGCCATATCTGTCCCTTCTTGACAGGCTGTACCACACTGCCTGGCTAGAAAAAGCCACTAACACACAGCTTCCACAGGTCTGCACCACGACAATGTTAAGCTCCCTCAGCACTTTCTTTTTGCTTTTGTTTCCCTCTCTGCTTTCTCTTCTTTCCCATACCCTCTTAGCTCCACATATCACATCCTCCCCCCTCCCTCCTGCCTGTCTACACTGGGCACTAAGCATCACACCCCTAAGCAGCACATGCATGGTCTACTGAAACCTGCCCAGCAGCATTGCCCACTTGCCCTGCCCCATCAGCCACAAATGACCCATCCCAGCCCCACTCCATCTGCTGGACCTGCGCTGCTGCACCATACCTGAGTAACTGGCCCTGCCCGCTGGACAAGGTGGTGAGAAGTA